AAAAGCAAGTAAGGGAACAGCTGAAAGAAGCACCCAGGATTTTGTTAAAACCATTTAAAGAGTCCTTTAAACGAGGGTAGGAACAAAGAGTGCAAGAGCTTTTGTTAATGTTAATGCAATACAGGCCAAACAGACAGCAAGGAACATTTTCAGAGTTAAACAAGCCCACAGAGTCACTAATCATTCTCTGTGATGTGACACACACATGCCTCTGTCCTCTTTGTCCTGCAGTTCAGGGCTCACCAGAAATTGTTAATATCTTTCTTAAATGCTTTTGGGTCATTGCTTTTGTTTGTTTTTTTTTTTTTTTTGCTGCACATCATCTTTCAGTGGAGTTTACTAGTACAGAAAGCACTCATCTCACAGGCTTAATCCAAGATCAGTAGGGTAAATGTGTCTGATATTGTAAACTGTGGCTATTTTTAATTCACTTATGTCAGAATACAAAAAAGGTAGGCAGTAGAAAAATGCCATTTTTTCATTTTCTATAAGAAAATAAGTGAATCTGTTTCAAGTAGCAGCTTGAAGCCTCTTGTATGGCATAGATTATCAGATGAATATTTAAGCAAAGAAACAGACATGAATATAAGATTCACACTTCAAAAACTAATTTCAACATACTACTGAGGTGATCCTGCTGATGCCTGAGGAAGCCACATGACAGCTGAGATTTCTATTTAAAGCCAAAAAGGATTTCACAGGATCACACTGTGTCCAAACTAACACAGGCAGACAGTTAATACAGGCAGAACATCACAACTGCACCCAAAGAATTTGGTAACATGCAGTATGTCACTGTTATGTGACCAGCCTTGGAAATGACCCAGTAAAATATTGCATCATGGATGAACTCTGTGTCTGATGAGTGCACAAGTAATTCTTTCAGTCATAAGAAGCCTAGTTTTTCTCAGAGCCCCACTGCTCAGAAATTAAATGTCTTGGAAATGGCTATTTGGAGTCAGAATTTAGAAACATATCTGTTTGTTTCTGGTCTTTTTGCTCTAGTGCACAGAAAGTCTTCCAGCATGACTGTGAGCACAAATCATGACATAATGACAATGAAAGACTGCATGGAAGCCCTGGGGAAAAAAGCAAACAAAACCCTCAAACATCAGTGACAAAAAAACCCTCAGAGGCTGAAATCTCAACCATATATAAAATGAGAGAAATTTAATTTCACTACAACCATTGAGGTTATACTCTGTTACCTTTGTGAGTAGAGTTTTACTGTAAGAATTCTACTGTGCTTAGAAAGTCTTATGTGCTACAGAACATAGAAACCTTAATGTTCCCATCCCACCAGTGATTGAGAATGGCATAAATACACTGCCATAAAGGAAAATAAAACTATTATATTTTTATTGCCCTAAATAATCATTGCAACACTGAGCCTTTTAACTATGACAACAACAAAAAAAAATTTTAGATGTCAAAATACTGATTTACAGGATACCAGAGATTTGAGGGGTGGGCAAAACAGCAGTATTCAAAAAAGCCATCTAGGACTTCCCACACATTGTAAATTGCATCTGAAAAAAGCCTCACTGCAGATCCATTTTTTTTTGCTTATTTAGCATTAATTATTAGCAACCCTAAAAAACTATTTTTAAAACCGCTCTTCCTTTGTTGACTGCTTCCTCTTCCACACCTCCTGCACACACTGACACTGGGGCAGCATGACTGGCAGTAGGAAGAAAGCTGCTGCTCCCAAGTGGAGTTTGATGAGTGCTGCGTGTTGTGCTCTGCCAGTCACTGGCCTGATTCATCATTCAATAGCAACTCCCCCTCTTCTGCACTCCAGCATTGGGAATAGATTGCCAGGCTAGGAATCAATTAGAAATTTGAGAATCACAATAGTCTGTGGGTGGCAATTATTAACAATTCAGTTTTCCTTCAAATTTTTTGATGCTAGCACTGTAACTGTATCCACTGAATGGCTGCTGATTATATTTTCTTGCTACCTTCCTATCTTCAGATCAGCAATACATGACTCAAATGTGAACAACAGTCTGGATTTGTATCTCCATCCAGCTCTCTGCAGTAATGAGAGAGGGAAAAAGAAAAAAAATTGTATCCTCCTTTATGAGAGGCTCCTGAAAACAATTGTGCAGATCTAGATGATTTAGGGAACTCACCTTTTGTGCCTCAGACTTGGCTGTCTTGTTCCCACTATCTAGAGCAAGGCAGAATAGAAACTCCCTTAAAGCTTCTTCTGTTTTCCCCAGATTAGCTAATGCTTGTCCTTTCCTTAGGTGACCCTGCAAGGAAACACATCCACAGCTGCAGCTTTTGTCAAGAGGATATGCAATAAAACCACAGTGAAAGTACAAAAGATCTTTCTGAAGAAGGAAAAGTTAGACAGGAAAAGTCACTATAACCATGTCTTACACCTAGACACCACCAGTGCCTGGGAGCCTAAACACAACAGTCCTGAAAACTACAAGCATAAACAGGATATTCTCCCACTCATGCAAGTATGATTCTCACAGCACCTGAGCCCAGCTGATACTGGAAACATCTACCTCCCCTACATCCCTCTTCTAAAATAGTCATTTTGTTCTTAGCATTCAATTTTTAGAGAGTACACAAAATTGATATTCATCCAAGTCAAGGTTAAGAGCCATGGCTCATTCTCCAGGACTAGCACTCTCTTTCTTCACCCCAGGAAGCTCAAGAATATATTGGTTAAATGTCTGCAAATTGCAGGAGTCCAAAAGTTACAGGGACTTAAAGCCTCCCTCAGATTCCACTGTCTAACCATTCCAACTGTCTGCTATCAGGGCACTATCAAGGTTTTAAAAAAGTACAACTGGAGTCAGAACTTACTTTCAACCAGTATGGCTGGAGCCTGCACGCTGTTTCTGCATCGTGCAATGCATCTTCACAAGCTTTCAAAGTGGAGTTAATCTGGGACCGGTTGCTATATAATAAGTGGTCATTTGGAGCTGTAGGAAATAGAAAAAGTGGTTGATTAGGTAAAAAGAAATTAGTTACATAAGCTTTATTCCTTAATTTTAATTTTTTTTTAAAACACATATTGGTGCTTCCAAGTTGCACAAACACACAAAACATCCATGTACTAAATTAAATCTGGAAACCTCTTTGGGTAACTCCAGACAAAATGCCAGCTATGTCTTATATAACTACAGAGAACATTGCATAAATAAATGCTGAGACACTCACACAATAAATTACCAGCACTGACTGAGGATCAGATGGTTGGTAGAGACACACAGGAGACACTTAAAACAGCAGGAGGGATGCTGTCATACTGTAGGGAGGAGTTTCAAAATTGGTAGCATCAAAGTTTTTAAGTGATAAATTCTTTTCATGCCAGAGCTCAAAACACAGAAAAAGAAGGTACAGCATGAAGAATCAGGTAGGGTTACAACGATCACCGAGTTACACCCACTGCAGCATCGGGACACAGCCTGTGCTGGGGGAAGGCTGGGCACTTTTGCTGGGAACATTTTCATTTCAGTGAAACGCTTCCCTATAGTACCTTGCCTTTAACTTCTACTTAGTACTTGCAGCGTGAGTCACTTTTTCTCAGGAAAGCCTGCATGAAAAGGACCGCATCCAAAGTTCTCCCTGCGCAGCCCCGCAGGCGCTTCCCGGCGCTGGGGCGGGAGCGCGGGGCCGGGCGGGCCGGGGGTGCGGGACACGCCCGCGGCCCGGACGCGCATCCCCGGCGCTGCCTGGGCTGCGAGCGGCTGCTCCGCGCCCGAAGGTGCTCGGCGGGGATCCCGCGCCCGGAGCCCTTCCCGGGGCGCGGCGGGATGCCCAGGGCGCGGCGCTCCGCTCCCGCCCGGCTCCGCCGGTTACACAACGGCGCCGGCCGGGGGGAGCCCCGCCGGACCGCAGGCTCGGGCTTACGCAACCGCTGCTCTCCTGACCCAGTTTCACCGCGGGCCGAAGAGCCGAGACCCCTCCCTGGGGCTCCCCTCCGGACACCCGCCCCAGGACCCGGCCCGGGGAGCGGGAGTGCGTCCCGGCACGCTCCCGCACACCGGGGTATCCCCGGCCGAGCCCTGGGCTCGGTGGAGCGAGAGGCGCCGGAGAGGCCGCCAGCGAGCCCCGGCTGGTGGAAAGTTATCCCTGCCCCGGTGCGGGGACCAGCAAGGGATAGGAGAGGGAGCCCTTACCTAGGCTAACCGCTTCATTGTACTTCTGCAGGGCGGCTTGGAGCTTCTTCTCCTTGTAGAGGAGGTTCCCTTCGTGCCGGAGCTGCGAAGCCTTCACTTGGCAGGGGAACCACTTGGTCAGCAGGTTGCTGAGGATGACATTGACCCGCAGGAGCTGCCCGGCCGCCGCGCCGCCCGCCTCCTTGCACAGGACGCAGCGGGACTCGGGCGCCCGGTCCCTCTCCAGGCACTTTTTGCAGAACGTGTGTCCGCAAGGCAAGGAAACGGGCTCGAAGAGGAAGCCCTGGCATTTGCGGCACCTGAAGACGTCCCACTCGCGGGGTGCCGCGGGCTGCCCGGCGGCGGGCAGTCCCTCTTTGATCCGGACGCTCTGCGCCAGGCACTCCACCAGCTTCTCCAGTTGCTCGGCGCGCAGCTGCTGGTGGCGGGACGCCAGCTGGTACAGCGGCAGCGCCTCGTGCAGCCGCCCGCCGAAGGCCAGCGCGTCCGCCCGCCCGAGCAGCACCTGCCACTCGGGCCCCAGGCCGCCGCCGGCCGCCTCCAAGTTCTGCGCCTGCAGAGCGCCGGCCGCCAGCTGCAGCACCAGCTGGGGCTCGGGACGCGGCGGCAGGTGCGAGCCCATGGCGGCGGCTCCTCTAGCGCGGCGGGCGGCGCGGGACGCCGTGAGGCGCGGGCGCGGCGCGGCCCCGCCGGGCCATGGTGCTACTGCTGCCGCCCCGCGCCGGGAGCGCCCCGCGCCGCCGCCGCCGCTTATATAAACCCGGGCACGTGACGGCGGCGGCGGCGCTCATTGGGCCGCGCCCGCAGGTTGTTACAAAACCAGGCGGTTTTGTAACGCGCCGGGCCCGACCCGCACCGGGAGGGGCCGCCCCGCGCCGGGCCCGGGGCTCGCAGCCCCCCGGGAGGGCTCCTCCGCCCCCTCGGACAGCCCGTCCCGGCGGGGTCTGGGCCGTGCGGAGAGCAGGGGCGCCCGGCTGGGGAGCGCTGCCCACCCGGCACACCGGGCGCGGAGTTGGGCTTGACCCGCCGGTCTGCACCGGCGCCCCGGTGAGACACGCTCCAGGGTCCGGTGTTTTGGTGCCTCCGGTAATGCGAAAGAAGCATCGGCTCGCAGTGATTTTGAAAAGCTTGAATGCCGTTTCCTGCTGGAGTTGGAATCGTGAAGCTTTGTAGCTACACAGTTAATCATTCTCTTTAAGGGAATCTACGGAGTAGTGAAGCTATTTTAATGTCAGGTACTCCTGGTTTTAGAACAACTAAGGAAAACATTGTTGTGTTTATTTAGTTTTGCAGTGTGGCATGTTGCACAGCTCTACCTGTCCGTGCCAGATTCTCGAAGAGGAAGCACATGCCTTGTGATGTATCTTTGTTTTATTTAAGAGCAGCTCTGTTGACCGTTTCAATCTGCATGTTCCCACCAATTCTTGTTGGATGAGACAGTTGCACTAGTTGTGTAACTGTCTGTGCTAAATGTAGTCTAGGGAGAAAATCACCTGTGCTACTACAGAAAAGAAGCTGTTCTAAAAGAAGTTGTGTAATGCTTTTTGTTTGCAGCTTTATGCATATTTACAGTTACCAGAAATGCCCGTGTTATGTATACATACGCTCTAAAAATATAGAGCGCTTTTCACACTGTCTTAAAATCCACTGCAGAATTTGAAATTTCTGATGATATCCTATTACTGATATAATCAGCCTCCTCACGAAGCTCAAGAGAGGGGCTGAAGGAATTAATTTCCGTTTTCTTACTTGCAGAAGTGTCTGGACTCCCCAGTTTAGACTACGTGAGCTAAGCAGGTATTAAGGGACAAGCCCTGCCTGTGGAGCTTGGATGGACCAGAGAAAAGATGAAAGAAAGGAGAGGCAACCTGAGTTTTGCAAGACCTTGTTTAGGGAGGATACTTGACAAAATTCAGATTACCTTAGATTTAAAAAGAAAAATTAGTTTAAAGCTGCTAAAAATCTGGATTTAACTTTTAATGATACACACTAATTCTGTGATGTTTGTGTCCATGTGTGGGCAACATTATGCTTATACAGAAAATCAGATCTGTACCTGAGAAGAGAAGCCAGCCATCAGACCCTTCAATTGTCTTTTGATTCTTGTGATGTAAGGATATTTTGCATCTGCCAAAATTTTAGTCCTTTTCTCTAGGGTTCTTGAATCTTAAAAAAAGGAAAAAGTTTAACATCTAACTGCTGCTCTCAAGCAAGTCCTTTAATTAGAAACAGAATTGAATAAGCACTGGTTTCAGTACTTCTTTCTGCCATCATTTAAATCAGACAATAATCCAAAGTATGGCACAGGCTGCCAGTAAGCAAACCAAAGAAAAGTGGGACAACTGAAGCACTGAAAATTTCAGTTAAGCAGTGCTTCAGAAGAGTTAGAAAGAATGAGCATTTGTGCTCAGGAGTGTGGGGTTTTCCCTCCAGGCTCCAGCTTGCTAACATAGACTTCTTGTTTTCCAAACTTCCATGCAAGAAAATCTCATGCTATTAAAGAACAAAACCCTTAAGAAAAAGAAGAAAAATGCTTTCTTGGAGCCTTGAGGTCAGCAGTTGTCTCTATTGCAAAACTATAGTCTCGGCAACCCCTCAGTGTGTTATTTTATAACCATTGTCCTGAAAACCACTATGAGTCAAAGCCTATTCAAGCGAGGGAAAGTGACATAACCACTGGTTACCAGTAGCAATGCAGTGACAATCTCTATCAGAGAAATGCCACCAGTATTTACATAGTTACATAGCAGACACTTAAAGAGATAAGTCATGGTAGAAAGGGAGGGTTTCTAGCAGAAACATGAATTCAAGCTAGGGAAGGGGAATAGATTCATCATAGGAAATGCAATCAGCATTTGTGCTCTGCAAGGAGCTTCCACAGTTCCTATTCTCAATGTATGAAAGCAGCTGCAGGGCTGGCTGGCAGTCTGAGCACTCTGGACTGAAAGGAGTCTCAGAAAGGCACTGGGAAATGCACTTCTGGGAATTCTCTTCTACCAGCAGGACATGGCTGAAACATTTCAAGGGAAAAGAGCAGCTGTGCTTATGAGCTACTCCCCGTGGTGGGAGCTGTGTGCTAAGGAGGGTTCAGAACACAGAGCTTTATCCCAAGCCTGCAAATAGTTATGACCTTATGACAGATGGCCCATGGGCAACAACTCTGTGACCCTCTTTTTCAGGGGAGAAAGCAGCTGGCTGTGCCTCTCCTAGTTCCTGGTATGTGTGGTGTTTGGTAAATGTTAGTACTTGGTGGGGTGTGACAGGTACGGAGTGAGCCGTACAGTCACTAACACCAAAATACTTTAAAGCCAAGATACTAATTTGCTGTTCACTAGAAGTCAAACAACTACTAAATATTTGACTCTGATATCAGGCCTGGCTCTGCAGAGACTTTTTTAGCAAAAACAGCTGTGTGAATTGATCATACATAATCTAGATATGCTGGGGTGTTTTTATATAACACATCCTGAAAGCATAGAGTTTTCATACATTCATACATATATTCATGGACTTGGAGCAGCAGTAGGTCATGAGGTGTACTTGATTAGAAGGCAAAAGAAAAAAAAGAAAGAGGCAAAAAAGCACCCTCCTGCCTACCTGCATTGTTCATGAGATCAAGAATGGATTTATCCTTTACTTAAACAGAAAAAGTTAAAGTGAGGAGGTGACTCACTCTGCAAAAGCACATCTCCCTTGTATGATTTCTCTGCAAAGGGAGGTTTAATTTCTTCCTTTTAATGACAATGAGCACAATACTGATCTTCTTCCAGCAGTTAATGGCTGGCATAACAAGCAGCATGAGAGCATGACTACATTCTTCAGCCTTCTTCTGAATCCATAAACTGCATCAGGCTTTGAGTCCACAAAAGCCACCAATAAACCTGCATTGCCCCCCTCTCAAACACAACTAACTCAAGTGTGAAATTCCAAACCACCAGTCACACTGACTGAGCTCCTTCTCTAGAGGAAGAAAGGATGTGAAAAGTCACATCACAAATACAGATGACTTTTTATTTCCATATGCTCTGCACATGCTGTAATAGTCCATAGCAAGAACAGATTTTTACTAATGGCCCATGCAGTTGAGGCAATTTCAAAAAAAATACCAGGCAGGAAGCCTGACCATTATGTCAGGAAGCTGCACTAACATATGCATAGGGAACAAGAGGAGAAGATGTGTGTGTTCTTCTGTGTTATTTTGCCACTGAACCTCTGAATGACTTTTGGCAACTATCTTTAACTATCTTTACCTCTTATTTTGTATTCTGCCTATTGTGACTGCTCCTTCATGTACTGGACATCCTTGCTATCATACACACATGATTTACATTGAGAAACTATCAAGTCCAAGTTTTACTTTAAATCTGTTTAAAATTAATTAATCTTAAAAGAAAAAAATTTCTGTCCTCTATAAAGAAAATTAAAGAAAAGGCTTAATAGAGAAGTTAATGTTCAGATGTCATGGTTAGAGAATCACTACAATTAAGACACAAATACATGATCCAGTTTAAATAAATGCAAGGCACCAATAGAGAGAGCAATGCTATCACAGGGTGTTGTTTCTCAAGGAAAAATACCAACAGAGCCTGCAAAAGGTTCTTGTTACTTACTGGTCCATGAACTGTGGAATAAGAAAAAACCCCAGTGCCCTTCCCACACAAACCCCTGCCTGCCTAATTGATGACTGGCTGGTGATCAGCTTGACAAGACCTCAGGACTGACAAAGCAAGCATCCCACTCAGGCTGTGTCTCTCACTGCTTGACACTGAAAAGGGGATTCACAATGTGCCCTTGAAGCATAACCAAACCTGGAGTGACTGAGATAAAATAATTTCTGTTCAGACATACCCAGATTCTTAGAAGGTTACTTTTGTTCTGCATTGGAATGAAAGGGCTACAGCCAGAAATTCAATGAAATTCAAATTCCAGGGTATTTCAGTTGTGAAGAAAGAAGATATTTCAGCATTGAACAAATATTTAACAAGTAATTCATTATTGAATTCTGAAAAACCTAACAATGTTTTGAAGACTCTTATTTTAGCAAAACTGAGGAACTATCTGCTATGCACTCCCACTAGCCATTTTGGTGACAACTCCTGCTTTACTAATCTCTCAGGAGGAAAGGCCAAATTAATTCTTAAGTTCAGAGGACTGAACACCCCAAGTTTTCAAGCACCCATCAGCATACATGGTAAGCCTCCAATTACAGTAAACTGATTCTTAATGCGTAGCAAGACAAATTCAACATTAAGTGGTCCAGAGAACATGACAAATCCGGCCAAGAAGTCTTTCCAGTTCTGGAGAACATGAGCAATTGCTGTTGCAGAACCACCAAATGAATATATTCTAGAAGGTGTTCATGGATTCCTCTGCTCTGAGCAGTAAGAAATGACTGTGCAAATGCCTTTAGCAACAGGTCATTTTACCTCCATGCAGCAGAACTCCCTTTGTCTGAAATGACTTCACTTAGGCTCAGCTGAGAAACATTTTCAGTTTGAAACAATGCAAGTCTAAGCAGCCAGAAGGGAAACGTTGTAAGAAGGAACACAGAGATGTATGTTTTGTTTCACAGCCTGTGCTAAGATACAAGGAAGATGAACAAGATTCACAGATGAATTAATGCAGTCTGCAGTCCACTTGGAAGTTAACAGACTAAGATGCAGTATGGATCAAAGCTGGAAGTTATTGATGCTCCACTACAAAGCAAATGGAACAGGAAGCTTCTGAACAATTTGAAATCCTGCTGATGGTTTATTTGAAACTACAGGACACATTCTTGCACAGGTTTTAAAAGCTTTCTGGACCACAGCTATTCAGCTATCTTTAGATTGGTATGGACTGCTGTCAAAGAAGTCTCTTTAGAAGTATGACAAATAAGTCTTACTATGCTTGTTGTGATTTTTTAAATCCAAAAGGCAAGTCATCTTTTCCTACACAAACATCTGTGGGAGTGTAAAAGGCCTCCTTAACCCACAATTTTAATTTCAGTAATTTTCTGCAGGGAGTGAGGAAGATAAAGGCAAGTTCTACAACCACAAAACATGAAAGAGACAAATATGGGTGGTATTACTGTGATAGAAACCCTGCAATTAGCTGGAATAAGCCAGTGCTTAACAGCAGCAGTGGCATGTGCTTTCTAAAGTACATCTGACTTCTGACAAACTGAGTTCCAGAGCCACAGCCTCCCTGTCTTTGCTGCTGGGGAAAATTCATTCAGGCAAGGAGTGAGGAATTAATCAGCAAAATTTTTTGGCAAAGCTCTTAGGGACATACATGTGGTCCCACAGCATTTAAATGAGACTCGAAACATGTTTCACATTAAGGGAATCCTTCCAAGGTAAATTCACCAAAGGAGTAACTCAGAGCAGACTATTCCAGTACAAATGGAGGGACCTACAATGACCATCCAGTCCAACTGCCTGAGCAGCTCAGGAAACTTCAGCCTGTGCTGAACTGCTTGCTCAGCCTGGGGGCTTGGATATCCTCATTCCTGTGACTTCCATCCCAGCTGTAGGCAGCCTCTTCATCCTGGGGTCTGGCCTGCAGGACTGATGAGCTGGGGTGGGTTACAAGATCACTGCCTCCTGCTGCTCACCACCACTGCAAGGCCAGGGGTTTCTGCCTAATCATGGCAGCTGATTCCATGGAATCAAACACACAGGCATCACATGAAACAAGAGGCAGGCATCTCCAGTCACAAAACTAGGAGATTACAGCTATTTAGCCCATTCTGATCAACCAGATAAAGAAATAGATTTCACCTTTCCACTGCTGTAATTCCATGGAATTAGTCCTGGAAGCCCAGATGATACTTCTTTCTTGATCCAGTCTTCCAAATTAGCCTTTAACTATCCCTAGCAAAACCATAGTCACTTAGTAAGAAATGAGGCAACAATTTTAAGCAAAAACTCAAGATCACATTTGTCATACTGGAAGGCAGGAGTGGGTTTGTTATTTTATTTTTTATTTGAAATATTGCAGAGCTTTCTTATGATACATACACATTGATAGGGCTTCCGGTAGCAAACTTTCAAAAAAACCCAGAATTACGAATCATAATCAGAAATAAATGACTCTAACATCTATTAAGATGGTTATTTAAAAAATGTTTCGATGAATCATGCAAAAATGTTCACAGAGAGTGTTATATTTTTTCATAGATAAATGTTTTGTTTTTCCTAAGTCTTACAAAAAGAGCTTGTGCTTTAAACTCTTGAGTTGAAAAAAAATATTTACAGCAGACATCATAAATGCCACATTGAAGTTCATAGAGGCAAAGTGGTGATGGTCCCCTGTTTTGCATTCACCAAACATGCTGAGGGTTTCAGATCTCTTCCAAAACCTCCCAATTTAAAAGTGCTCAGTCTTGGATCTTCAGTATGCTCCTCTTCTCCAAGTCATTCATTTCCTTCAGTATAAGGGCAACATTGTATCTCAGTTCTTGAAACTTTGCAACTGGCACCTGAAACAGAATGCTGAGCTTAGAAAACACAAGACATCTCAGGAACTTGACTAGGGCATGCCTATGGATATGGGACATTCTGCAGTGTAAGGCAAATTTCTCTTAAAATACTTAATTTTTCCAGACTTAAGACAAAGGATTTAAGGTTAATAAAATTCAGGTAATTCAACTAAATCCACATGGAAAAGGAGAGTGGGAAAAAACCAGAAATAACACCTAGATTGTACATTTTCTGTACGCCTGATGAGAGAAAAGAAATACTCAAGGATGTAAATTGAGAGCTGCTTGGGTGATATAAAAGTCATGGACTGGAAGGAAAGACATCTGGAAGGTCGTGGAGACTACAGAATTCTCAAGCAACAAATTCAAGATATTCTGCTTGTCCAAACTTGCAAGACAAAGGAATTGAGACTCGAGGCCAGACACTTGGCAACAACTTCAAGAGCAAATGGCACTTCCACAATGTGTGGAAGGCAAAAGATTTAGGGTTAAACACACAAAGCATTTTCAACTGTGCAGGAGACTCACGGGATCTCCTTTCCCATTTCAGGCCTGAGAAGCCCAGTGGATGGAAATTTATCTATGAAGAAAGAGACCCCCAGCCGAGTGCAGGCACAGCCTGGTGACACAGCCTGGTGACACAGCCTGGTGACACAGCCTGGTGACACAGGTGCAGTGCACAAACACATGCTCACACGAGTGCCCAGTGCAGTCTGGCTGGTCCCACACAGTCTGCACAGCACTGCTGAATTTACTCCTCTGACTGCACTGAAGACAGCAGTTCTTTTGGCAGAGCACCTTGTCATCCTCCTGCCCACTCTGGCACAGATGCCAATTATATGAGAGGAATCCAACACCTGATTTGCATTTTCCACATATATCAGAAATGCATAAAAAGGCACCATGTCCTTTTCACTTTTGACATATATACAACAAGACTCAAAATGCTGCAATTCCCACTGCTTAAAAAAAACAACTTCAGTCAGAAGCTACACTGTGATTAAAATACCAAATGGAGACCAAAGAGTGTAACTTCTCCCTGTGCTCTACACATTTTAAAACTGTTCACAACAGAATTATTTTCTGGACTTACCATCTTACATAAGCCCTGTTAGGTAGCACGACATTCTGAATGTGTTCAAATAAAGGAAAACTGAACATCTGAGGACTATGTTTACTTGCATAAACTTACTTACTCTAACCAAAACACAAGTTTATTCCAAAGAGCTAACTGTGGGAAGACCTCTCATCAGATCTAGAAATCCTGTCTGAAGTCACACCCTTGGCATTCACATCCAAGAGGCAGCAACAGTAAAGAGCTGATTCTAAGAGAAGCACACTGTTTGTTATCAGATATCTGCACTCCTGCATATGCTGGACAAACACATCTCCACTGCAGAATAACTAAAGGTCTTCCACATTGAGGAAAAAACCCACAAAAAACAAACCCTAAAATCAAACCAAAACAGTCAGAAAAAATGGCACCAAGACCAACACTGGACATGATATGCCAGGAACTAAAGTGGGAATAAACTAGATTTTATCCTCACAAGTGAAACTTACCCTTTTGTAAAGGGTTAACCTGAAGTCCATGGCATCATTTAAGTTCCATGGAAGTCCTCAAAAGAGTGTATAGGATGCTCTGAGCTGGACAGTCCAGAGGGGTAAATTTGATCTCCTGTGAAGCGACACCCTCAACAGTTTGCAATGTAGCACAGAATTTATGCCCTTCTCTACAGATGCTTTATTGCAAAACAATTCAACAGTAAAATCAGTCCACCTCTTTCAACCCACAGGGCTTTGGTGCTTCTTCCAGACTGCTACTAATGAGAGAACTGAAGCCAAAATCTGTACAGAGTTCAAATGTAACAATGCCTGCTGTGCATTGAATTCCTGTACGCACCACCATGCTATTTATAGAACAAATAGCATTCCTTCTCAAAGGTTAAAATTATGGAAGAGTTTATGCCATCTTCTGGCAAGCCTTTAGGTACACTGTCATAAATACTGCCACTGACTAATCCTGTAACAAGCAAAGAGGGTATTTTTTTTACTTTCTGGCAGCCAGAACAGTTCTGAAGAAAAAGAATAAAACTACCTCTGCCACAGAAAAGAATGTTATCATTCTCTGCCAAATGCAGAAGGTTTACAAGTGTATCATACATTATATAAACTATCCCAGTAATTTTTCTGCCCTCAAGAGACAACATCAGGTCTGAAGGTTACAGTTCATAACAACCCCATAACTTTTAATCAAACCAGACATTATGTAATAGTGCTTTCCAGTAATTAATATTCTTCTAATAAATTGCAGTTCAGTAGAACATGTGCAGGAACAAGGTATGAAATGATTTTGATTGGTATTTCATTAAATACTTTATGTGGCTACACTGAACATGAAGGATTCCAAAGCAAACCAACCAATGGTAACACACCATTTACAAAAGCTTTAGTATTTTAAGTAATAATTCAACTTTCTAAATAAAACTAGAAGTGGTTTCCTTACTATTTATTATGGCAATCAGACTTACTTCAAAGCGATGAGCTGTCCCATCTGAAAGCTTCATCATCATCAGAATGGATGGCTGGAGTGCACGGGCCAGTGAACTGAAATTATTTACATCATTAGGATTACAGCAGTACAGATCAGCACTGTGATGAGTACAGCATTCCACTTTAACAATTTTAGATGTTCATGTAGGCTTTACACAGAACATGAGTAATTTCAGTCACAGAGTCTGGCTGGAAACTCATGAACACAACAGCTCTGTCAAATTTACCTCAGTATTGGGACTTAACATTTAGTTAATAGTTTAGTAACTGCAAGTTTAGGAGCATTTTCATTTTTACATAATTGGTTTAGTGGAACTATGATAGGGATAAGAGCTGACCAAGTACTGCTAATAATAATGCACAGTTTTCTTATGCAGTTTTCCATGCTGCATTAATCATTTCCATCCTTTCATACGTTCAACTTCCACCTCATTCGGGGAATCAGCCTCTTCCAGGCTTCATCCTAAATTTGTGTGTTATTTTATTTGATGACCCAAAGAAGGGAAGTGAGTCATTCTTGTGCAGCTTCCATCAACTGACACTGCCAAAGCCTGCTCAGGTACAGACAGGCACTACAGCCCAAAGCTGCCATATCTCCCTGCAGAGGCTGTTGCTGGATGATAAACAAGAAATCCTGGGGGGAAGATTAACTGAAAACAAAATTAAAAGGAAGGAAAACAAAAACCGGTAATGTATTGCTCCTCCTGTGTAATTTGGAAAACAAATCAGAGGATTTGCTTTCAGCTTGCAAGCACTGTGCCTGAGAATGTTTACCTGGACATTTTGCTCTCATATCAGTATAGATTCTTTTTCTACAGAGTGATACCTGTGTGGTGCTTACAGCACTGCTCATCAGAAAGTCACCAGAACTAGTAGCTTGTGGCCATCCCAATTTTCTCTTAGGAGCCTTTTTTCTTGATTTCAGGAAGACAATCCTGATCAACCATGGGCCTCCCTGGCAGCAAAGAGACAGCACTCTCTCCCAGATGCAGGTATTCAGACACACAACATGAAGTTACTCACACTAACAAATTACACTACTAACAAAGACTGGATCATCTAATTTCTTTCAGCTTGGTCTGTCCTGGTTAGGACTAGACAGAGAGCAAACAGCACAGATAACAGGTTTCTGTTTCCTTCTGGGTCTAGCCAAAGATCCATCCCCCACATGCCTCTGTTGTGGCAGATGGTAAGAAGATGTTCACTGCAGGCACAGGCAGGATGATCTCAAAGGCTTTTACTCCTGCTGTGAAAGAAACTAGGAGGTAGTTCAGTGACCAGTTACATAACTATGGCAGTGTAAAGGTGCTGGCCTGAAACTGCTCTTTGTAGAAGCAGAGTATGAGAGGTGGAAATTCATTTAACATGTGCAAAAAATGATGGTCTGCTTGAGAAGTTGAATAGATGAATACTCTCCCCTGTTCCAGTAAAACTAAGAGCTTGCTTAGCTGCTTGAGGCTCAATCTGACTAATTTATGCCATCATCACCAGGACCTGTGGATTTGTATCAGCTCTGTTAAGTTTTAAAATAAAATACTCAAACTTTGAGTGAAATGTTACCAGCAGTAAAGTCTACATACACTGACTTCTACACTGTTCAGAAAATTCCACCTGTATCTTACTATTTAAGGCTACCTACCAACCCCTAATAGCAAGGCACGTTTTGACCCCTATTAAAATGTTTAAGCAGCACAAGAAATCAGTTTAATCTTAGGTAATTCCAGGGATGTGCATGATTGTCTTTTGTACCTTGTGGATATAGCTACATCCACTCTCCACTTGAAGTCCTGGATACTTGGCAGCCGACTTCTTTGTACCAGAGCTGTGCCTTCGGAAGGGGGACGCCTGAAGAGTCAATCAGAAATAAGAGATTGCAATGTAAATCCATAAAAGAAGGAACAATCCAAAGAGAAAATAGAATTCCTCTGTACAAACCTGTCCAGAATTTGTTTCTCTCCTACATCTGTCCTCACTTAAAGAGGTCTGAATAAGCAGAGTTTTTGTGGATTTAAGACAGTTGTGCTCAGATTATCCCCTTTTTTGATGCTTAACTATGGTCCGTGTTGAAAAAAGAGACCAAGTGACTGTATAATTCTAGTAAACTGATGTCACTTTAAAGATTACTAAGAATCATTGTGGTGGCTGGCATACCTTATATTTCAATTATATGCAACTGTGAGGCATAGAAAGAGACCTGCAAACATATCCTTACCTTCATGCAAATCCAACAGGAACAAGCAAGCAGAGACAAGACAGATGACTTAGGCAAAACAGTTGCATAAGGTCACTGTTCTTCCTCAGCAAAAACCATCTAGTATTGGCAAGCAGCAATATTTTAAAATATAATATTAGTGTATTGAGTGTATTTTGAAGCATACTTAAAGAACCCCAGAGTGGTTCTTGTTGATCCAACATAATTTATAAACTTTAAGTTCCTTACATAATGTTCAGTGCCAACCCCAGCTCAGCCTTCAAGATTTTTGCCTAGCCTAATGTGTAAGAAGCCAAGCATTTCATTTGTTGCTCATATTGCAGGAAGAATCAGGCTGGTCAAGTCCTAGTTTATTTCTGTGTGGGAATACAGTTAACAGCAATTAAACTTCAGATGGTTGACAACTTTCAAAATTTTAATGACATGCTAAGTTCTGGATAACTAAATGGCAAAACTGATACAAATACATAATAACCATTCACTCTTAGATATACATGCAGAAATAACTTCAGAATGAGGTCACTGTGCTGGTCCATTCAGGAGGTGGATTCTGGACTTTGTGTTACTCTTTTTTTCTCTCTCTAAGCATCCCATGTCCCTGGAATTTATTTACTGTACATTTCAAGACTACTCCAGTACTTCCACTAAGGGCAGGATAAGAAACATTACATCCTTTATCCATGGTGCTAGACATAATCTAATTACAGACTTTGCATCAGAAAGCAATCCTCTCTGAACAAATCAAGCACTGTAGGAATGGCAGTTTCACATCACTACTGAGATTCTTGTGTGCAAGTTAGCTGGGCCTTTAGAAATTGGCCAGAAAGATTAATGAGTACAGGGACTCACAGGCTGAGATCCTCCAAGTGTCCTGCATTTTGCAAAGGTGATATAAGAAAGAATTTATCTCTGGTGACGGGAGGTTGGGTAGTGTCAGAACTGAGACACATTCCTAATAGCATGGTAAAGAAATGAGCAAAAAAAGTAGATCAGCTGGCTCTTACTCATTGTCAACTCCTGGATAGGAAGTAGGTCACCACAGCTGGGGGCAGCCATGAGGAGCTGGAGTCCAGAACAGTCATTAGCAGGATTAAACAGTAAGAAGAGGCCTTTCCCTCAGTGGAGAGCTGCTGCCAGAGTATTGCTTAAGTTGGAGACTCCCTAAAAATAGCCACACTGCTACCGTTTCCTTAAGACATGTGAACTCCCATCAATGGAAGTCAGTCCATTCAGTGCAGCACCAGCACCCTGGGGGAAGAAAGGAGTTTTAAAAACAGAAAGATATTCTACTTAGCAGTGGTGGGAAAGATCAGAAATGGTGACCTCCCAAACAGAAGGGAAGCTTTGAATACTGTGGAGAGATGGCATTTCTGTGGTCAAACACAAAGCTTTATTTCTGG